TTTCATATATTCGTGAATTTTCGTAGACTTTCGGAACTCTCGTGTATTGTATAAAGAGAGTCTTGATGCTGCTGTGATTAATTCGTTTAATTTCGGAGTCCCGTTTTGTTGCTTCGGAGTCTCGTTGTATTTTTTTTTTCGAGTCTTGAATGTCTTTTCGTTTATTTGGACAAAAACCCAATTTTATAACTATTTTAAATTCTGGGATTTATATTAAATTTGTAAAGTTTGTAATTTCCCAAACCGAGTCGATGATGGTAATGTCGTGGTCGAGTACCGTGAAATTTCGATCAGCCTGTTCGAAAATTTTCAACTTCTGTAAACTTTTTCATTGCTCTGTTTTTGGTCCCAGCTAGGTTCTGCTCGCAGGGCTTTTTTTTTTTTTTTACTTTCAGTATATTATGATGTCAATTTAAATCACAAGCAAGCCTGTGGTCTAGTTGTTTAGGCGCTTAATTTCCCGCGAGAGGTCGCGAGATCGATCCCTGCTCTTGCGCATTATTATTATTTTTTTTTATATATATATATATAACCAGATCAGGCGCGCGGGCCGTTCGGCCATTTCCAGCCCGCGCGCAGCCCTCCTTAAGTCAGCCCCTCCGGCCTGTGAAGCCCAGTCTAGGCCCGCGATCTTCCCAGCTGCTAGCAGGCTGAATTTTCGGCCCAATCTCGCAGCCAATAACTGGCGCGAGGCCCAAATAGCTGGAAGCTTGGGCCAGTGTTTGAGCAGTCGGCCCAGTTCGACTTTTAAGCCTATTATTGGGTTCCGGAGTCCGTTTATAGTACCGATTTCAATTTTAAAAATATTTAAAAAAAAATGATAAAATTTTGGGAAAAATTAATTTGAGTCCCGAGACTCCATTTTGTTCCCCGAGTCTTTTCTTTTAAAATTTTGAGAGTTCCAAGTCCACGAAAAATCCGATTAAAACCCTTAAGACTTAATTTTTATTAAGTATGGGTTTTATGTTAAATTTGAGTAGTGAGATAAATTATTAATATATTATCTCGCTTAAATGTAGGTGTTTGAGGAGTCGAGCCGTCATCCTACGTACTTGTGATTGTGTGCTATTTTCTACCAAATTTCCAGGTGGGTGTTAATCTAAAATTTGCTATGCCATACGTGTTTATTATAATGTTGAAATTGGTATGA